GTCCATGAAGGCGTCCCGCTTGCGCTCCATCTCCGTCTTCTGGAGGCCGGTGAGCGCCTCCAGGCTCTGGGCGGCGATCACGGTGTGCCGGCGCTCCGAGGTGTGCACCAGCCCCACGTTGGAGAAGCGCCGGGTGCCGTTGCCCAGGGTGCGGTACTCGCGCGGGTACTCGGCATCGTCCGCGGAGATCATGTGCGAGCTCGTCCTGTCGGGATCTGTGCGGGTCCGGGAGAGCACAGCGGGGTCAGGGAGGGACCCCAGCCATGGGGCAGAGATAGGGACAGTCCCAGGCCATGGGGCAGAGGTTGAAGGTTGAGATTTGGAGTTGGGGAGGGGGATTTCAGCGAGGAGAGATGGCAGAGCCTCGCTGGGAGTGGGATCATCCCTCAGTGGGGTGCACACAGTGGGATCATCCCTCAATGGGGTGCAGACAGTGGGATCCCCCCTCAGTGGGATGCCCGGGGAAGGGGGTGGGTGCCGGGTCCATCCCCCTGCGGTGGCAGCGCTGTCCCCGCTCCCGGACACGCGCAGGAGATGAGGGGACAGCGGGAGCCATGGCCCGGAATTGAGGGGTGGGAGCGCTGGGAGGGGCTGGATGGAGGGGAAGGGAGCGAGGGGGCCGTGGGTGTGCGTGAAAAGGGGGTGGGTGCGGCAGTGATAGGGGAGCGTCCTCCGGGGGTGAGCAAGGGAATATTCCTGGGGTGAGAGAGGGAATATTGCAGGGGTGAGGGAGAGATTATTCCAGGGGTGAGGAAGGGAATCCTACAGGTGTGAGGAAGAGGAATCTCCAGGCGTGAGGGAGAGAATATTCCAGGAGCAAGAAGGAGAATATTTCAGGGGTGTGGAAGAGAATCTTACAGGGGTGAGGAAGAGAATTCTCCAGGCGTGAAGGAGAGAATTCCTCAACCCTGAGGGAAGAATCCCCCAGGTGTGACAGAGAGCGCTGAGTGTGGGGAGCAGAACCCCCCAGGTGTGGGGAACAGGTGCCATTGGAGCTGCTGCAACCCCCAAATGCCTCCAAACCCCCAAATTTTGGGTAGAGGACAATAATTGATGGTGGCTTTGCTGTCACAATCCATATTTGGGGCATGTCCAGGCACGGAGCGCTGCTTCCCAGTAAATAAATGGGATTTTTCCCCTATTATTACAGGGATTTAAAGACTTTCCTTTTTTTAAATAAGCAGCAGCTCTAAAAAGAAAAAAAAAAAAAAAAAAAAAGGGGAAAAAAAAAAAAAGGGGAAAAAATCCAGCTGGGGTTGGCTCAGGTCTGATAAGCTGCTAAGGATTTTTATAGGTGTAGGAATGATCTGGATTTGGGNCCGGAGCGGGAGCGCGGTGCGCATAAAGCCGCTCCTGACTCTCGTTTTAAAGACAAACGCGTCCTTTGTGTGTCCCCCGCCGGTTTTTGCCCTTCTGCATCTTTTACTCGGCTGCCTTTGATGTTCCTTTAAAGTCCCGGCTCCAAAGGAGCTCTGCCAAGCCTTTGGATCTTCCCGTTCCTCCGGGAATCCAAATTCCACCCCACCCCTCGCATCAACGCGGCGGGAGCCCCCGGCCCTCTCCACTGACCTTCCTCGCGGGATTTTCCCTCTTGGATGTGGCCCTGGATGTCCCAAAAACACCGCGAGCCTTTGGGATGGCCCTGGCCGGGATTTTCGGGCAGAGAGGGCGGGAATGAGGGGATGGAAAAGTGCGGGGAGGATTAGAATGTATTGGAGACAGACTGGGGTGTCCTGGAGAATCGGGAATCTGCCTGGAGCCTGGGCTGGCAGCAGCGTGACAGTGGCACAGAGGTGACAGTGGCATGGGGTGGCAGATCGAGGGCACATTCCGGGAGAAGGGCGCAAAAAATCGGGAAAATATTTTAAAAGTGAGGATTTTTTGCCTTCCCTCACCTCAAAGCGCCAGGAAGATCCTAAAGTTCAGCCCTGTTCTACTTCTTAGTCGCAAAAAAATCAGGGTAAAAGATAAAAAATCCGGCAAAAAGGCAAAAAAAGGGAGGATTTCGGGCCTTCCCTCCCCTGGCAGTGCCGGGAATGCCCCGTGGGATGGAGCAGGGGCCGGCTGAACCTCCCGGAGCAGCGGCTCCACCCCCGTTTCACTCCGGGAATGAAAACTCGGGACAAATTTTCGTGTCCCGCATTTCCCGGCCCCACATTCCCTGGGATTTTTGGGTTTTTTTTCCACGGGAAGAGCGAATCCACCCGGGACAACGCACCAAGGTCACCCGGCAAGGCGGCGACCTTGAAGGGCAGCCAGGGAGTCCCTCGGCGAGGAGGAGAAGGAGGAGGAGGAAGAGGAGGCTGGAAACCAGAGCAATCCCTGTATCCCTGCTGGGAGCAGCCACTCTGAGCTTCCAACCCCATCCAGAATCGGCCTTTTCCCACCCTTTTCCCATCCTTTTCCCAGAATTCTGTCTCAGAAATAACTCCAGAGCAGCAGGATTTGGCCATGGGGTGAGCTCCCAGAAAGAGGCCTCACAGAACAACTCACAGCTCACCCCAAACCCCAAAATTCCCCCTCACCACCTTCAGCTTCAGCTCAGCTGAGACCAAACGACTTCAGCTCAGGAATCCTCATCCAAAAAAATCCCACCGCGGGCTCCCACCCCCCTCCAGAGCCACAGCCAAGCACATGCATTTCAGAGAGAAATCGGGAAAAATCCAAAATACTGACCTTAAAGCTCCAGTAGTTGGGTTGCTAACAACAAAAAGAAGATAAAACAGAAGAAAACACACACACACACACACACAAACAAAAAAATACCATTAAGATTCTTGGTTTGACTTTTGGTTTTTCCCTTTGAGAAGCTCTGAGCTCGGATTTAAACCTGCTCTGGTTCCTGCCCCTCCCAAAGGGTGGCTGGAGTTTCAGGGAGCAAGCAGGGGGTGAGGATTGAAGCAAATTGGGGTGAGAAAGGAGGGAAAAGGGGTTGGCACTGCAGCCCAGCATGGCTACTGGTGTCACTGGTGCGCCCAGCCCCTCCTGGCACTGCCGCGGTGCTGGAAGTCACAACAATGTTCATTTTCCACGGGATTTTCCAGCCCTGCCCGGCTGTGCCCGCCCCCTCCCTGTGCTGGTGTCGCCGCTGTCACAGCGATGTGGCACCGCCGGTGACAGGAGCTGGCACTGCTCCCGAGCTCCCCTTCCCGGGCTGGGCTGGGCTGGGCTGGGATGGGATGGGATGGGATGGGATGGGATGGGATGGGATGGGATTCATGGAATGGGAGCCTGGGGTCCTGGAGGGTGCCAGGGACAGGGGGACTGCAGAGTTCTGGAAGAGTTCGGGTGGGAAGGGATTGAAAGGTGTTTTTATTCCAAAGGGATCCTGATATTCCAGGCTGTTCGCAGCCCAATCAACTCCCTGCAGGAGGGAAGGTGGGTCCAGGGGTGAGGAGTGGGATTTAGGTAAAAGGAATGGGATTTAGGGAAGGTGGGATCCAGGAACAAGGGATGGGATCAAGGGACAAGGAATGGGATTTAGGGACAAGGAATGGGATCAAGGGGTGGGATCCAGGGACAAGGAATTGGATTTAGGGACAAGTAATGGGATTTAGGGAGAAGGAATGGGATCCAGGGACAAGGGGTGGGATTCACCTGTCTGGAAGGAGAAATCACCGTGAAAATGATGGGTCTCCTGACTTTTCCCTTCCCCAACTTTTCTCTTTTTCCCTCCACAAGTTTTCCCTTGTTCCCTTCCCCTTTTCCCTTTTCCCTCTCTCCCTCTCTCTCCTCATTTTTCTCTCGAGGACCCTCAGTAATTTTCCCTCTCCTGATATTGCTGATGCTATCTGCTGCCAGCACCAGCTGTGAGTTTTATTTATTATTTTGGGATGACAGTGTGGATTTTATTTATTATTTCGGGATGACTGGACAAGCTCCTCACTGAGCCCATAAATCACAGCCAAATCCAGAATGTTCTGGCACTATTTGGGGTGGGCACCGTGACCTGTGGGCACAGGGTGGCACAGCACCCATCCCTATCCCAGCTCAGAGGATCCAACTGGGAAAAACAGGAGTTTAACCTCGTTTTTAACCCTCTTGTAACAATTTAAAAGTTTAATAAAGGACAATAAGAGATAAAGACAATAAAGCAAAGATTGGCATTCAGCCAAGAGCACATTTGCTATTTTGGAAACATTTTATATATATATATTAAAACACTTTTAATATATTTATTTCTATTGTATTACCTTGTTGCATATTTATTATATATACTTTTATGTATTAAATAGTATATAATAAATAATATATTTATAATATATATTTATATATTATATATTTATTGTATTTTATGTTTTTAAATATTTTAAATATTTAAAGTATTTTTAAAAATTTAGATGTTTAAATATTTTTTATATTTTTTAATGTTTTAGAGTATTTTAAAATTTTTAATATTTTAAAATAATTTAATGTTTGTGGAAAGCCAATATTATAACATGTACTATAACACAATATGTATAATATTATATTGCTTATCTATACCTTTCCCTGGCAGCCCTGGGGATGTGGCACTGCCCAGGGGGACAGGGACACGCTGCCCATCCCCTGCTGGGCTCCAGGGCCATCCAGGGCTGACAATCTGGCGCTGGTGGCAGCGCCAGGCGGGCTGTGCCCAGCACCTCGTGGCACTTTGCGGCTCCATCTGTCCCCGCTGGCACTGCTGCCACCCCAGCGCCCGCCCTGCCCACCCTGCCCATCCTCTGCCCACCCTAAATGTCCAAAACCACAGACAGTGAAGCCCTGGGAGGGTCAGCACAGCCACATCGCTCAGGTTTTAGTTTTTATAATTTTTAGAATCTGTGCGCTTTAGTGTGGCGTTCTGAGCCCCATATTATGGGGTGGTGAGCTCTGCACAGATCAGGGACACAAAATTCCTTCTCTAGCTGGGGACCAAGGACAAATGATCCAAATCTTAGTCCCAAGAGCACAAACAACATGGGCTGGAGGGAGAAAAACAAGAAGAGCGGGACTGGATGGGCTAAGGCTGGAATGGGACAACGAGCTGCAAGATGCAAATGGAGCAGAACTTATCAAAGTGACAGACCCTGTGACCATTTGGGTTCATTTTGTGACCATTTTGTGACCGTTTTCTTTCACCTTGGTGCAGCCCTGGCTGGGCTCTTGCACTGCCCAAGGTGGATCCATGGAGGAGATCTTTTTAACAAATCCCTGCTTTATTCTTTAATTCTGGCCTCTGCTCTAGGTCAGGCTG